TCATCACAATTTATTCAACAAATGTTTAATTTAAGATGATACAACCGGAAAAGTCAGGGGATCACCAAAGTCATTAGGCTTAGTCTTTCTGGAAACCATGAATGTGTACAGAATTCCATGGGAATCCACCCCAATAAAATTTGAGATATTTTAGTCTGGACCAAAGTGGTGGACCAACCTACTGGCTGATAATGCACCCCTAGAGCCACACTGAGCTATGGCTAGAAAGAATCTGAAAATGTCTTTTTCCAAGTCTTCTCCATAAACAGCATGTTAGAAGACAGTGGGAGTATCAGCTTCCAAAACAGTTTGTCACTCTTTTTCCTTCTTTCAGACTCTCTCTGCCAGACTCGTGGTCCAAGTTCACTGATGACAACATCCTGCACTCCCAGAGTGAACGCGCTTCCTCCCGCAAGCTTAGGGACGAGATTGAAATCCTGATGAACACCACGTCCAACGAAATGTGGAACCAGTTCAACAATGTCAACGTGTCCTTCACAAACCGCATATCAGAAACCGCTGATACTAAGAACAGCCTGCAGACACATCTGGCTAAGGTCATCACCTTTTCTACATGGTCTCATCTCATAAAACACTATACGGTCCTGTTATGTTTGTGTAACAAGAACACAATTTACAATTCTATCTTGGTGATGTGATGGATCAGAATCTGTTTTTTATTTTAGTGTTTTTGATTTATTTATCAGAGATTTGCCTCGATGTGATTGTGTTTCACTGTGTAGGCATGAAAAGTAAAACAGCCTGGATTATAGAAAAAGGGTTTAAAAGAAGCAAGCACATGGCTCTACATCAAGGAAAAAGACAAAATCCATTCACTTTCTTCCCTCTGTGGGTAACTAAATTTGCCACTTATTAGGGAGAGATCATGTGTTTGTACCATTCTCTCTCTTTTCTACACGCAATACAAACAGCACATGCGCTATCTTCACCATCTGCAATACTTATGCACTGAAGGTAGAGGACATTTGTCTTGTCTGTAGTGGATTTACTGTAAAACATTCCTGTCAAAAGAGAGGAATGATAATAGATGCCGCATTCATTTCTTGTGCCATGATCTACACTGGATCCCATTGTTCTTGGGTTAATTGCTTGGGGTTACAATTCACATCAGCTGTTGGATGAGTTTGAACACTGAAAGCAGCTGTGATGTGAGGCACACAGTCCTCAATAAAGCTCAGTCACTGTCAGTTAAGGAGTAGTGATTCGCTGGAATTGAATTACATCAAATGGGTTTGGACAGAGCAGGCCACTGTGCAGCACTGTGTTCAGCTGATTCCAAGCTTGCAATGTGCAGCTTTTTACTTGTTCTCTTCTAGCATTATTATCTTTTTTCCCTCTCTTATCAGTTGACCCACCCACTACTTTGCTGACCTATTTTCATGAAGGAGACACTTAAAAATCTATTGTTTTTCTGTCGTTTTATCCTGTATCCATCTTGTGTCCTCACCCAGACTCTGCAGGAGATCTTCCAGACAGAGATGCTGATTGAGTCTCTGAAGAAGGCCCTCAGAGACAAGGAGTACCCACTTAAAGTGGCCCAAACCAGGCTGGAGGAGAGGACCCGCAGGCCCAATGTAGAGCTCTGCAGGGACAACCCACACCATAGGTACTGCAACTCTGCAAGTATTTTTGCTTCACCAATGGACAATTGTATATTTAGTGTATATTTGTTTTCTGTGTGGTAAAATTGGGGATACACTATTGATACCCTTTGGAAAGCTAGCAGGATTAGCCACAAAAAGGGTTTTTCCAAAATATACTTCTCTTTATCCTTCCTTGTTTAGACTTGTGAGTGAGGTGAGAGAGATCGAGGACACCATCCATAAGCTTCGGGAGAGGCTGATGGAGGCTGAGAACACTCTGCAGACTCTGGTCAAAACCAAAGTGACCCTGGAGCATGACCTGTCCATCAAGGCCAACTCACTCTTCCTAGAGCAGGAAAAGTGCATGAGCCTGCGCAAGAGCTTTCCCAGCATGCCCCGTCTAGTGGGCTACACCTAAATCTAAAGTTTTTAAAAAGGGGAAGCCTTCTAAGACCAATTTAATTAACTATGAGCTGTGTTAATGGTTTGAAGTGATTTAGAGGGTGATGTGGGCAAATTACTAAACCTTACAGGCACTGATTATAAACAATGGATTATCTTAATTTTGAGTATTGTATCAGTGATGTACAAAAATGAAAATAATAAAAAATGTGATGTCAACAAAGAATAAACTGCAATGGTGATTAATCAGGTACTAGTCAATGCCTCCTAATGCTTTAATTTTGCCTTCAATATTACAGATATTTTACCTGGTAAATATCCTTGAAAAATTCTGGAAACTCATGTGTTTACACCTGAAAGGTATATTAAAAACCAATGTTAATCTTCAAAAACGAATCACTGCATATACAACTCCCAACAGTCAAAGGGTACCATAACTCTGAATAAACAATCACTGCATATGTTCTGGGACAGATTTTCACTTCATTTCTGGACTTGAAACCTTTGATTTATAATGTAAACCTTACATTGAACACCATGTACGGCAGTAATATGGTGCTATGTGACTATTCATTCAAACTAGTGGTCCTTGTAGCACATGCGACAGTAATCACCAAACACATAGCCTGGGCTTGTGCAATTCTGCTGTCGAAATGAAGACAAACACACACCTCTCTGAAGGCTCAGTCAGATCTGTCAGCTCCACCTGACCTGAATGTCACCTTAGGGGAGTGGTGACATGTAAGACTGGGATTTGAAGGACTCCATGCGTTCACCCTGAGTCAGATTACTTTGGTGCACACAGAAATATGTATTGTGAAGGACTTTTGTGTCTTTACCATCCTTCTTTAATGGCTTGCGTGGCCCATTACTCATCACCTCACCCACAGGAGGAGCTGGGCAAACAACTTATAAGTTATGTATAAAACCCCACACCCATCTTACAGGACTTGAGCCCCATACCACTTTACTTCGTCTTCTTCCCTTTGTTCCCTGACGGCTTAATGCTCCAGTACAGAGGGGGGGGATGGTGTCTAAAGAGCTAAACCCAGCGTGTCCGGCACATTTAAAGATGTGGAGAGTAATTTAATTTAGTCAACAATATTCAGAGCCTGAACCAACTTTGAACACTATCAAACACTAACCCAGCCCTTCTACTACTGCACTTTCTGCATAACCTTTGGCTCCACTGAGGAATGTAAACTTTGCTCGAATCACTGTCGTCTGTACAGTAGTCACCAACATCGTTAAACTGATCACCATTATCCACATCACACAGCAGGGGAGTTGTATTATCTAATTTGAAAATACCAACTTTAATTATGTTCCATGTGTTCATTTTTTAATACTTTCCACTGCAGTTAATTTCTTTTTCATACCCCTGCTATCTTACAGCACCAGTGGGAAGAGGGTACATGCCAAAATATGTCCCAGAGTGTCTGCAGATAAATTGAATAGAAATTGGAGACAGACGCTAGCTGGACTGGCATAATAATCAGAGATAAGAGATGCAACCTGGAATCTAAGCTGTAAGGTTATGAAAACTGGTTCCACTTAAATCCTTTCAGTTGCTGCTACATTAAAGTAAAAGCATGACGAAAAGCAATGTCTCTTTTGTAAATAGAGTAGTTTCAATATACAGATTTCTAACAGGAGGGAGGAGTGACCATAGAGATAAACCACTCTGTGCATGTGTGTGTAACTTGCACTTTGAATTATGTGTAATGTTTAACAACTATATTGTAAGTCAAGGTCACAGTGAGCTGAAGAGGTCTCTCTGCTGTGCAAACAGCATTGTGTTTGACTAAAACCCTCAGGAGCAAGTCAACGGCAGGAGGTCTCTGCCATGGTTTACTACTTGTAGTTTGTGTGTGTATGTGTGGGCCCTCATAGTGCTACTCCTGTGCCCAGGCACATTCCTGAGCCCTTGTATTGCAAAGAAAGGCCCCCTGTTGTCTCGCTTACATCAAAAGACTCCCTGCTCTCATCACCTTGTGATTAAACACGCTGACAGGTAGCAAAGAGTTGAGGGTTTTCTACCGCCTTATCTTTCCCTTTTGCTTTCCAACTTCCATCTTTATGATGAAAAAAGAAAATTCATAACTGGGGTACCCATGAAAAGTCAGTTCTGTTAAGTGGAATGAAACCCTGTTTCCCTCTCTCTCATGCTTGGTTTGAGCTTATGGTTCTCTTTCTGGATGTGACACAAATAGGCCTTCCTATTTGAACTCCTCTACCACCCCCGCATATGGGGAATGTACTCTGGAATTCTCCCGGCAGTCCAAACATATTGGCAGTTTATTTTTAACACCCGCTCTTGTTATAGATGCCCTGTGCCACATGTTATTTTGTTTTCTTGACATACCATCATACCATACTAAAGAGCTGATTGCAGATCACTTGAGACTGGTCAGTCACTCCGGGTCCTTTACCCTGTGCTGTAATTACAGACTTGGATTGAGTGTGCATCGCTGAAGAAGAAAGTGGTGGATGCTATGGAAAGTATTTGTTTTTCTCAAAGTATGCAGGGTTAGCAATACATTACCACTGATTACCATTGCAAGCACTTGATTCTTACTTTTAAAATGTCTTAATTGACAAATAAATCTGTTGCTTACTTGATTAGATAATTGCTTTATTATAATTGTGACCACTAGGGCACATAACACAGAAACAGACACACAGGTACTTAAAGGGTGCGAACTACAGTGTAGCCAGGGGGAGTTTGGCTCCTCTTAATAAGACATAAACTCCCATGAAAATGTGATTAGTGAAATTTTGGGGGTCTTTAAAATATTGAATTGAAATATAGCATTTGTGCCTTGAATTTCTATTTTTCTGTGTCTTTATCAACAGAGATTATGCGTAGAATTATGTTATTACTGATGTATGATTCATGCATGAGGATAATTCAGAGCAACATTATCACCCTACAAACGTTGTAGTTCTGGCTAAGTGACAAATGTAAATCCAATATTCACTTGTCTTTAAGGTCTGTTTTGGTATCCACCAGCCTCTGAGAAAATTGGCTCCTAATGTTGTTCTGACTTTCTAATCCAGCTGTGTGTTGTTGAGCAGGTAGTGTACAAAAGGTTAATCTGAGGTTTCCTTGCAAAAACCGTTTTCCTTTTTCCTGGTTCTGTAGGAAACAGGGTTGTTCAGAGGTTATTTTCAACCATATTGTCACATTAAATGTCAACCTACATTTAAAACAATAAAAAAACAAGGCTTAAAAGCTTTGTAGAGCTGCAAAGTTAGATAATAATTATCATCACTAGTCACCTTATCACATCACATGTAGTGATTCAGTGTTGTCTGTCGGTTGAGCTGTCAATTAAAAAGAAAAGTTTTTCCATCTCTACATTGCTTTTTGGGAAATACTCTGCACAGGTGATTTATTCATCATATCATTCAATTATGCCAATTAAATTTTAAGCCTTTGTCTAATACCCTGACACAGTATCCATAGTAACCAAGTATTATTAAATTGAATCCTCTTCAAAGCAGACCATCTCTTACTTCAGATGCAAGATCAACTTTACATAACTTAGGGAAAATTTTCAATTACAGTGTCCACTTATGTAAATGGAATGGGACTATACAAATGTAGCTGAGCCATTTTGCCACAATCATAGACTTACATCGGAAACATGAGGATATAAAAGTGAATAACATGTAAGATACTGCATGTAAGTAACACATGAATCATAATTGTTGGAAAGATATCCAAATTACCTACAAATCCTGCCATGGCTTTTACTGTAACATCAAGTTTAAATCCCTTTAGCTCATGGAACATTTCTCACTTCATCTCCTGTCATCTAAAGCTGCCTGAGTTTAAACTGAACTCTAAACATTCATGGGAACCAGCTCTTCCTGCAGCTTTTGGACCTGGGCCAGAACTCTGAGTTTTCTCAAGAGTCTCTCTGGCTGCTCCATCGTTGTTGTGCTGTGAAATTTGTCTTTTACTGTAAGCTATAGGATAAAACAAGAAACTAAATGTGAATCCGTTGAGTAATCGGCAAACTAACTGTTACGAGATATAGGGAGGAAGCTGGGGACAGACTGATAAGACACAATATTCTATGTGGTTTTCCATCCCAACTGCCAACCTATCGTACAGAGCTCTGTGGTTGCGTGTGACTATCTGCTGATCCTCGCTCACACGAGAAATCTTTACCTCCTTAAACTTTTAGGCAATCAATATTATATGCCCCCAACATTCTACACATAACTGTGGCTCCAACCAGGGAGTCATGATAAGTCAGATAAGCCAACTGCTAACAAAAGTTCAGAGGTCAACCACAAAGGCTGGTACATACAGTACAATGTAGAGAAGAGAGAGAGGTCTTGTGGGTCATTTGTGTTATTGAGTGGAATTCTGGAGCAGTCCATAACATTGATCTGTGAGTCCAGTTCTTCTCATTCTCAATGAAAAGAGGACTGGGTGGATAGGAGAGCGACACAGAGCTCAAGATACAGTACTGCAGTTTTTCCTGCTGAATCATAGTGGGGTGAGGAGTTATGCACGTCTGACTGAAAGCCCCATTATTAGATTGTTTTTTATTGTTTTATCTGGAACCAAGGGAACAAGCACAGAGCTTTTGAGAAAAAGAAAACAGGCTCAGTTCGACATACAGTTGAATAAAAAAGAAACAGGTCAGAATTGCAGTCATTCTTCATACATTTTCCCCTTTTTCAAGGATGGTGACCTAATGATTATACCGAAACCACATCTTCCCCATTTACAAATTGAATGACACAGCATAATGTGTGACTTACGACCATATGATTTTAGACGTGTCAGATGACACTGACCTTTCAGATTCTTCAAGATTACATTTTAATGCCAGAAATTGCTTAAGAACATTTCCACAAATATTGAGATTAGTAGAGTACAATTGGGCTCTAAACCATTAGCATAGATTTAATATGTTCTTTGATAATACAGCAATGACATACTGTAGCAACTTTGGTGTGGTTTTAGAGTGAATCCAATCACTTTTCCATTGGCTACATTTCATTATCTTGTTAATTTGAGCTTTCATTTGAACCTGACCCACAGACAAGCCTGTCTGTTCCCACATCACAGGCAATCTGTTGTGTATTTAGTGTATTTTAAGGGACGAGGCTCGGTTTACCCCTTTGTTGTTATCTCTGTGTGTACAGTCTGATTAAACTGTGATGACAAGACAAGGGTTTTGAGTAGCTTAAAACGTATCGACACACAAACAAACAGGCTGCATTCACCTCTTGTCTTTCAGCCAGTCTGTCTCCCCCATTTGCTTCTTCTTTGTGTTCCTAATAGCCCAATCCCCATCCTTGTCTGTACAGCTTTTACTTGTAACCACTACGATTTGCATGGTTAATATTGCAATTATTTGCTATGCCATAATTGTAGCATTGTGTGTTTTCTGTCTTATGCATAAGAACTCTCACATATGTACATGCAAGTACTGTATTTGTGAGTTTGTTTGAATGTGCAGAGCCGGGTCTGTAAACAGTTAGGCTGACCGGCGTCCAGAGGAATCCAATGCGAGTCAAGAGAGGGGCAGTCCGACTCCGACACAACTTCAGTAGGAGGGTAGCTATTAAAATACTGGAACTCAGTAGACCAACGGACAGTGACACTTCACATGCTGATGAAAGGACACAAGGACTGACCCACCTTTGACCGACACCTGCCACAGCCTGACACACAAAGTAAAAGGCCCGCGACGCAGATAGGCCTCCCCCCTCTGACCTGTAGGGAGCATCAGCCGGATCCCACTCTCAAAGTCTAGCTGAAAAATATCTGCTGAGTGTGAGTATGAGCCAGTTATTCATCACAGTTATTGGATTGTGGTTTGATCCAAGATAAGTGAAATTGCATATAATACAATCAAGTGAAGGAAGGCAGCCTATCACATTGTTTTAAAATCAAAAAGAATGTAATCTAATTGCGTCAAAGGACAAGATCCCATCTTTGGTGATGTCTTTTTGCTGCATTATCTCCAATACCTCTTTATTTTAAAAATCTTACATGGATTCTTTTGGTTGAAAAAAACCCCATCATTTATGGTAGCTGCATCTGTTTTAACACTCTTTTCTGTATTGGTATGTGGATGGAGTTACTGTAACTTAATCATGTCTACTCTCCAGATTCATGCCCCCTGGCCGAGGTCCTATCTAAGCTTTTGGTATGCACTCTCACTGTCTGCCGCGCTAACGTGAAGATAAGTCGTACCATTTTAACGACGGAGGTGAAATGTTAGACGCCGTTCCAGTTGTAACATAATTCAGTATCTTGGTCTGAATGTTTGTTATGCGGCTCTCCCCAGAGAGTTTGGCTTCAACCCCGGCTTCACAAACACAGTAAACTTAACACTCCTATGTCCACTCAGCCCACTGATTGTCAGTCTTTTACAAACATTGACATATAAGGGATGGGAATGAGGAGCGCCTGCACAGCTACTCCACAGTCCTTTACAAGTCGCTGTAAACCTTATTGTTGACCAGTTCTCACCTCATATGATCAGAGTTAAGGCCTGAGTTAACACCAGAGTTACAGTAGATTAAATGTTCAACACATATCAGCTACAAACAACAGAACAATCTGACAAAGAGGCACTTCTATGCAGCTCAGGCAAAGAATGTCACATACTTTGATTACTGAGCAGCCACAGAGCTCTCACTCAGAGCAGTACTTCATGACTGTGATCTGCTCTTGTAACTGTCCTTTCTTCCGTGTGTGTGGACATGAGCACAGCAGAAAGGCCTCCGTTTTCGTGCGAGTGTGAGAAACCCATGCAGAGGGGTCCAGGAAGCGTGAGCTAAGTGGTGAAGAATAGAGAGTGGATGTTGACAGGGGTTATCTGAGGTCGGACAGCTCTAAGCTCTTCTTTCCAGCCTGCTAATACGAAGAAAGTGCGTGTTTCATGACGTGCTGTCCATTGAGGAAGCCCAGTATTTTCTTAGCAGGGTGTGAAATCAATTTTAGACTTTTTGTGAAAGTGTAGGAGTATGTGTTTGATGACTTACAAAAATAATATGCCCAGTTATCAGGAATCCATAAACATCACACTGTATTTGGATACGATGCTGGTAGCATGACTAAAGAAACAATCTGCTTCAGCTAAATTATCATTGACAGCAGGCTTTGTTTAATCTTGTATCTCTTAAATCTGTGCAGAAGAAGATCCAGAAGGAGGCAGAGATAAGGAAGTCACTTCATACTTTAAAATATTTACAGTTTTGACCGCTCCCTATACTCCCTGTATACATATCCTGGAATTACATTCATTGCGACACCCTTATTTATAAGCCTAAACTCAGTGAACACTTTTACGTTCACATTTACAACGGGCTGTTCAGGGTGGTACGCCATCTCCCTCCCACTGGAAATGAGTCATGTCAAACAGAGGAGAGCCACAGATGCTATCTCTCACTGGTGGTGCGCTGGGCATACCCGTCCACACTTTCACACATACTGTGAGTCACAAGACTGACTACAGTACAACCAGAGGGAAAAGACCCTCACTACAACAATGTTTGTGTTTCTAATTGCCAAGGCAACGAAAGCTGAATTTACAGGGAAATATGCATTGTGGAAAAAGTCCAAAATATCTATAAGACACAAAAGCAATCAAATTCATGGGAGGCCTATTTTGCTAACTAAAACAGCAAATTATCAAAAAAACTATATCTATAATGTAATCAAGTCATACATATAAGGGGTTTAAATCAAGCAGTGTAAACAGCTATCTTCTGCCAATTTTGTCAAACATTCCACTCAAATATGTTCTTTTTTAAGCGATCTACTTTATTTATCAAATAGATTATTGTTAAAAAAGTATGTTAGATATACTTCTGTTAAATAAATTGCAAATTCTATATAAACTGAGCAAGCACCAACATCTAAATGGATTTGAGAATTTCATTTATACTAACAGCAATAAAAGCTAAAAATACAGTCTGAGAAAAAATCCTCGAAAGCAGATAGCTGCTTTTAGTTACCACGACAGCCAAACAATGATTCGTCAGGTCATTACACTCACTACAGTAAGTTAGTAACTAAGGCAACCCATGCGCTATTACGCATGGAGCGTCTATATTGGGAACCCTGGCTGCGGACCAAAGGGTCACTCCATGACGCAGCGACGCACGCAGGGCGTTGTTCTTCCATAATGAGACACTTTATAACAGAACGTCAGCCCTGGCATCAATCTAGTCTGAGAGCGACTTTTAGGACTGAGGAACTACCGCTGTTGGACTCTTTTGGGAAAAACTTGCTTTTGCTTCTTGCGAGCCTGAATCTCTTTTTTTGTGGAAATACAAGCTCCCTGCTCTAAGTAAGTGGACTCCGGTCTCTTCTAAACTTCCTTATATTAAGCTGCACTCAGTCTGTCCTGGTGGATTAAAGAAGGAAACAGGCTTTTCGCAGGGATACCCGCCGCTCCATTGCGCGCACAGACTGAGGACTGAGGTGCAAAAAGCTTGTCATTAAGCTTATTTGGCGGCTAACAAATTATTTTGTCCGGTAATTAATTATCTTAATTAACTTAATTTACGCGAAATTTTGCGTTGCTACTTTCTTTTAAGTTGTTCGTAATTCGTTTATAAACATCCTGTAGAAATCAGTGGTCATATCAACAGGATTCCCTACATAAGCCGGCAATTTAAAGCCAGTTTAAAAAGGACAGAATGATAGACAGGAAAAGACAAATAAAAACCTTGATGTTGAGATGCTTCAAAGTTTAATCCTGTCGCCAAACTTGCTGTTAAATGTAAATAAAAGGCGCATGAAACCATTTTCCCCACATGTAGAATATCAACAATGACTTTCTCTTAAAAGCAACCTTGTTATTGTTCATTTACATGCTTGCCATCTGACAGACAGGTCCAGATGAAGTTTCTCTAAAGGCTGTCCGTTTTGAACGTGCTGCAGCGACACACCCATGTCCCACCACTCTGACATCCACACACACACACACACACTCACTCACACACACTGACAGAGACTCTCTCCTCTTCTTATTACTGTCCAGATCATCCGAGAAGATGCTGCTCCTACTACTGGGAATCATCCTCCTGCACGTCGCTGCTCTGGTTCTCCTGTTTGTGTCAACAATAGTCAGCGTGAGTAAAACTATCATGTTTTTTTTTCTTTCTCTGTTCAGATGCCATTTTAAAAATAAAAATATAAATTGGCTAAAAATTCAAAATATAAATGAAATATAATATAATGTGTTGTTATTGTTACTAAAGATGTAAGAGTTGTGTCTTGGAATCAGGAATTAAGATGTTTTGTTTTTTTCTAATCCATTTTGTGCTGCTCTTCACACATTACTGACCGAGCTGTATGTTGTTGACACCAGGTATGGACATCAAGTGAAGCTGGCACCTCAGACCTCTGGTTTAACTGCTCTGCTACCAATGGAGGATACCACTGTCTCCCAGGATCAACTGGAGGTCAGACACCTGCATTACACTTAACTATTGCCTTTAAGACAACTTTAATTATTTATTTATGTATTTACAACACAGTGGCTAATAATGGACATTTTGATCACTACTCTGCTGTTAAGTTGACATGCATTCTTAGGATTCCGCTGATAAGTCCCTTTTCAGGTTTGCTTTTGGCAACTGATAAGCTTCATAACATTGAAACCAGTTTAAACCATCCACAGTGATTTTCAAGGGGTGCTTGAACTTTGGAAAATTACTTGCTGAAATTTACCATGTTGATGATGTGGGTGTGTCAGGGTTCCTCTGGGACTCTGGTGCCATCTAGGGCAGAGAATGTGGCAGTGCTGTTTTGAAGTGCGAGCTGATAGGCTGCCGCCGTATAAATAGTCGTGGTGTGATGTCCATATTCAGGTCTCATGTTGGGAGCCCATAGTGACAGGAGTTTGGGAGTTGTGGACGATCAGGGTGGGGCTGCAGGGAGTATTTAAAGTTTTAGATCTATGTGTGTATGTGTGTGACGGTGAGTGTTTGAAAGCAGGGAGACCTTGGACTACCTCATGCAGAACATAGCATGCTGATGGTGGGTCACGCCCAGTGGCAGATCATACTGCCCAGTGTTAGTTTGCAGGGATCACTGGGACAATTTAAGGCAACAGCTGCAGTGTTTAGAGATTTATTTAGACAGAGTCAACCACCTCCACATGTTTGAATTAGATAAGATCCTTAAAATGTATGGATATGTTGATTGGACACCCCTACGTAATAACATTTCCATTGTCCTAAAATGAATGTTTTAGCAACAGGTTAATGTGAGATCACTGTTTAGTAGCTGTATGTTTTGATACTAAATGTGCCGTCACAGTGGTGCAGAAGGTGCTGGCTGCAGCGAGGTGATGTCATTTGTCTAGAATGAGCCGTGCTCAGCCAGTGTGTGTTTTGTCAGGGCAGCAGCGCCTGTATACTCTGCCAGGTAGTTTGATGGCGCAGCCAGTTTGTTTGACTTGCTTTCATTAGTGCACTGACGCACAGTGTTTATTTAAGGAGGCTCGTGTGTGCCTGGGTCTGTGCTTTGGCTTTGGAAGATGGAAGATAGTGGTTTGCTCTCACGTGGGGGCCAAGCATGCGTTAAAAAGGGCTTTTTGAAGCTTTGCTGAGCAATCAAGTTCCTTCTGAAGGGAATCATAATCATGGTCATCGTGGTTATTTTTAGGGCATTTCTGAAACTTCAGAGTTTCCCCTTGTTGTTGCCTTGGTTACAAAAATATTGGCTGCATTTCATTTTGATAATGAGATATGAGATGAGATACTCATGTCACAGTTATCAAATGCTGAGCTTCAGTTAAACATCACGTCCTACCAGCCAGGAAAATTACTTCACAGAGTTTACTCGCTCTAAAATTAGCTTTTGAGGAAGAATGTCATCTGCCTCCACACAGGCCTACAATACATAAACACACTGAAGTAAATACTACAGCAGTTTTATTTTTGTTTCTGCTCCACTCTGTACAGAGGGGGTGTAGGGCCTCAGAATAGAGGGCAGAAAGACAGGAAACATCAACAGTTATTTTCCTGTTTGAAATTACAGGGAAAGGCGTGTACGTTTCTGTATTGTAATACCACGATCATAAACCACAGCATTCATGTAAATGTTTGAATATGAGTCACACTTGCTTATCAGTGATATTCTGAGCCATGAACCACGCCTCTTGCTAGGAAATGCTCCATGTCACTGTTTCCTACTAGTGGTCAGTGAAGGAAGGAAGGAAGGAGGACGAGATGTGTGTTTATCACAAAAGCAGTGATGTATTGTCGGTATTTGTGGGTGAGCACTATTCATAGGACGGGGATGGAACATTTCACCCATTTCTCACAGCGTTATCACACACTGTTATGTAACATCTGCAAACAGGATCATTAGAGTGGAATCTAATTGTTGCTCTGGTGTGGTATTCCGCTGGCTGCATTTTGTGGATGGAGATTTGCAGCGTGTCATGTTTCTTCCCATATCTCATCCCCGAGCCAATGATCATCAGGACAAACTGTAGCGCTGTTATTGTAGGTAACCTGACTCCAGACTGGTAACCCCGTGCAATCATTCAAGATACTGCTCCCCCTTAAATCTATAATAGATACAGTGTTTCTCCTGGAAAACTGCAGCATCTCTTTGCAAATGTCCGCAGATAGAATAAGCTATGTGAGCTATGAAGTGTTATTTTTCTTAGCTTACAGTGTTAAAATGTGGTCAGTCAAATTCATAACATCACACAAGCTGTCTCATAACTTAATCATCCTTTTTCTTCTATGAGCAGTAATAAATTATGCATCATGCCTTTTTTTCCATGTTGTAAGTTGTAAGCCATTAAACCACAACATGCCTTTGATTTACATAATGCAATAGAATCAATAAACCACAGATACTTGAGAATGTTGAAGGAAACATGTCAGAGATTTGAATGTCAGAGTTTATAGTGGCACGCATACAAATGGAGCCATATAAAATCCCACTTTTTCTAGACTTGTCTGGAATATTTGCTGATACTAGGGTAGGACAGCAGCCAACGGCTGGACTAATGCAATGGTTGCCAAAGCTTTGTGGTTGAACACCTTGTGACATGGCAGGATTTTATGGCAAGGGTGGCACAAAAACACGACAGTAACAGTAACAGCAGGCGTGGCTATAAAGGAGAGCTGGATAGATACAGAGAGGGGCAGTGTGTTTTTATGAAACTTGAGAAGCCAGGGAGGCAGCATGGATAACTCTCAGACAAGAAATAGACCCTGCTTGGAAATCCTGAGATTCCTGGAATGGTTGCACGAATGAAGCACAAATGCGGACAGTCAAACACACTCAGATAGATAGCACAGATTGACGGTCCCTGTCAATACAGGTGTCTAATGGGTTAATGGCCCCTTGCAGCCTGGCCTTGGAGGACTAGCAGTAATGATCAATGTGGTACATTTAGTCATAGGTCCTGCTGTGGGGGGCGCACAGAGCTTTTAGGAACAAGATACCCTGGTTTCATTGTTATGGATCCATTACACATTCCCAGAAGTAAACATAGCCATGGTCGAGCTCATTACGTTCTCTTTGAGAGGATGCTTAAATTCAGCAGAGACAAGACTAGTCAAGGTGCACTTTGGCATTTGTTTTTGTTATCTCCTCTTCCCTTCCCCTTCTCATACGCTCATTAAGTGTTATATATAAATGATGCTTTGGATGATGATGACTGTGGGTCAGTTATTGACAACACTCCTTTTTCTCCCTCCTTCCCTTGCAGAGTGGATTCAGGCGGTCCAGGCACTTATGATCCTATCCATCATCTTCAGCTGCCTTTCCCTCTTCCTCTTCTTCTGCCAGCTCTTCACTTTGCAGAAGGGTGGACGCTTCTTCCTCACTGGAACCTTCCAGATCCTTGCCAGTGAGTTCAATCCCCGTTGACACTTCCTGGCAAATGCATCAACAACATAACTTAGATCAGATAGACATTACACCGTAACAGGCACATTTGTGTCAACACATAATGTATGAGGGGATTTACTGGATCTGTTTATGGTTTTTCTTTGATGAATCGATTGATCAGTCTCATAGAAAATGGTGAAAAATGACCATCTCCCAGATTCCAAGTCTTCAAATTGCTTGTTTTGTTTGGTCCAAAACCCAAACACATCCAATTCAATATAAAACAGAGAAAGACTTTGAGAAGTTGGAAACATCATTTTCAGCATTTTTGCTTGACAATCACTTGATAATCTAAAAAAACAAAACAAAATCTTTTCAGCACAACACACATTTGCTCGATGAGACATATCAGTAAGACTTGGGTAATCTGAAAATACACCACTCACACAAATCCACCCACGCAGACAAACCACTAGCAGATGCTCACACTGCGTCTTCTGTGGCAGAGAATTGAATTAAGAGAGTCTGAGCCAGTTACTAATGGTTTAATGCTCCACTTGTCTATTGTACTTCATGCCCTTTGGCCAGAGAGCAGCTCCACCGCCAGTCCATTGTATCCTCTCTTGGCAGCCCTTTCAAACATCCCAGGTTTGCTCTCTATTCTGTGCCAGGGCATTGCCTGGCACCCAGGTGCCCACTCAGCCAAATGGGAATGACACTAGGCGCACTGCCAGCCGTGCAAGTTGAAATGTCAGGAAGGCTGGCAGTGTGGGGGTCTGACAAACAGATCATGCCATGTCAGACCAGCGAGGTGGGCAGAGACAGGAAAGGCTTGCAAAGGCTGGATCGGAGTTCAATAAGCATGAAACACTGTGATGTAATATGGAGGGATGCCTTCTGGGAAGCACTGACCTGCTCACCTCCGCTGCCAGACAGACGGGGTTCAGCTCAGGACATAAGACAGAGAGCACAATACTGCAAAGAAATATGATCTGATAATTGAACAAGATGGTGGTCAGCATTATCCAGTGCTTTTTTCCTCCCTGCAGGTTTGTTTGTGATGAGCGGCGCCGTCATCTACACGGTGATGAGTCCGGAGTGGGTGTCGGAGACATACGGCTTCGGCTACTCCTACATCCTGGCGTGGGTTGCCTTCCCTTTGGCGTTGATCAGCGGACTCATCTATGTCATCTTAAGGAAGCGAGAATGAGCCATCACTCCACCCCAGTGTTCCCAGTAACCCCCTGCTGCAAGTGTCACCAGTCCCCCTCTGAAGTATAAGTTCTGATGCCTGAGTACCAATGGCCAATGGAGCCACCAGGCCAATACACCAAGATCACAGCGAGGGGGGGTAATACCAAAAATCTACATGCAAACCAACACAAAAACAACCAATACTGTCTCAGTTAAAAGATGTATATAGTATCTATGGTTTAAAACCTATTTATAACACTTTTTACATATATGTACATAGTTTTTGTGTTGCTCTGTCAACGGATACTCGTATGAGCTTTGTTTTAGCTGATTAAGTGCCTTGTGTTTGTTTGTAATGATGAAATAATTAGATGCTATTTTTGTTGTGTTTTCATTTTTTTGTTGCCTTTTTTGTTTTGGTAATTGCCAAAGAGAAAGAATTAGTAAAAAAGAAAAAAAGTTTCCTTGAAGTATATTAACCAAAGTGCATGTATAAAAATAGAAGGGTTAGAAGAAGAGGATCTTTTGATGGGCTTGCTTTACAAAAAGAGTGGTAACATCCAAGATTGTAGCATAGCCATGAACTATAGATTTGGTCCTGTTCTATTTGTGAATTTGCAAGTTTTAATGTTTTTATTTTCGGTATTTTTCTATTTCTTATTTTCAACAAAAGATGGTGCTATGTATTTATCATTCCTATTACTGATAGCAATCATTTACAACAGAGTTACTTTGTTATTGTTTAGAGTCAAAACAGCTTGCCATGAATTAAAGTGAGAATCAGACAGAGGTACACATGTACATACAGTGCCTGACTGCTTCTTTAGGGAACACAGCCTATTTCACATTGCAGTGCCTGATTTTTTTTTTTTCATCAGCTACTGTAAAAAAAAAAAATTGAGTTTGGAGTGGTATATTGATGAAGTCAAAAGTCATTTGGAATGTCAGTATTATTCTGAAAGTTTGTGTTGGAGTTGGATCACAGTGAAATTACTTTATATAAGCTTTATTTATTTGCCTTCCTTTTCTCTCATTCTAATGTGTGTTCACCTCATGTGTATGGCTGTTGAAGTCTTGAGAAGCCGAATTGCCGATTTAGAAGAATGCCATAAAAAAAAATAACACCGTGGGGCATTAAGAAGAAAAGTATACATTTAACATTACTAGAAACAAATGCCACCAATTCGAAGCCATATAAGATATAAACACCAGATGACAGGAAAAACATATTTAGTATTAACTCTATATGTGAGAAAAAGGACAAAAAGGTTTGCAGTGGTGATACAGATGTCTGTTTCACATACTTGAAGTTTGACATGCTGCAGTCTCTGCCCACTGACACCTAGATGTTTTGCCCTTCTACTGTATAAAACACTGTTTCTATGTTGTGCATAACAGATGTTTATGACAGTCTAGCCTAAAACACTCACTTACTCAATAAAACTACTCTCACATTATCTAATACTGTGTATTCCACTGTTACAAGGGACTGGATTCACGCTAATACTTGCATGTGGAGCTAGAAATTACATAATGCAGAATTTCAACTAAAGTTTCCTAGGCTGTTATGCTGTCTGCCTGTAAACTCTGAAACACACATCTCTGCACTACAAAAGCATCATGTGGAAAAACTCTCAGTAAATGGGAATAGACACTAAAATTAAAGCAAATTCTGAACCATTTGTGACGATGAATCTGTTATGATGGACAGTAGCTGCATGTTCACATGCTAAGAGACAAAGAGATCAGCATATGAAATGCAGCGTGCAGCATGTAAATTCCTGTTTACAGTCAAGCCAAGCAAGTCTACCTTACAGTATGATATCATACGCTGGTAGATCAAATAAACTGCCCTGTGCATGTGGTTGCAAAGGCTGTATGTGACTAGTGTTACACGCACTGTGGCAAAGGCACGGTGGTTTGCACCCAACACCAGATATCCAAAACATGCAGCTAGTGTTTCAGTGTCAACAGTGTCTCTCCTAGCATTGGATATAAGAAGAGTTGTCTTGAACACTGTAAGCAAGGATCTGTCCTCCACTTCACATCCCTGTGAAATCGTGCAGCTTTCCAAAACAGAGCTGTGTTGTGGTGGATTAAAGTATTTAATTCAGAGTTTACACTAACTAGTCTGCTGTGGTTTTTCAGCATGATGCTCATTATTGGGTTCAGTTAGAAGAGACTGCCTCTAATGACAACTGCCCGGCTATTTTGTGTAAAACGACAGCGTTCAATTGTCTTTGCCATGTTTACACCTAAATTTCCAAATGCTCTTGTTATTACAAAAAATACTTTGAGTTTAATCATTAAAGGATGTTTCTTACCACCACAATGGAGCTTTTTGTGTCTTTCAATAACATTACACAATACATTTTTGGAGAGGCAAAACCTGCCTGTTTCAGTGATTGAAGAGTCAGCTGTCGCAACCTGTGCTTACAGATTATGGCTAATGGTTTGTGATGATATCTGTTCCTTTTAAAGACAACAGTCAGCGGATAACCAGCACTTCTGCACTGAGCTGATGATAGGTATCTTCATCTCCAGCAATGAAAGAGTACTCTCAGAAGGAGGAGTCTTGCTGCAGGCCTGAAAGGTCACAGCCTCCTACTGCCTCCCTCCCTCTGACATACTAGCACTGGGTGAAATGGGGACACTGCATTCTGGTCTGCATGCTTGTTTCAAGTGTATGAGAAAATCTGTATCTGTATTTATTTCCTGATATCACAATTTCAATATTTTTGGGTACATACATTAAAACACATAAGATCTTTACATATTTTTAGGTTTGACCGGTAGTTTATTATGCCCTGTACAATACCACCATCTAGTGGCTGCATATAGTAACAGCAACAACATTCCTATATATCACACCAGGTTAGCAAACACTGCCTCTATGTGTTAGAATATGAGCACTACAATTAAATCTACTACCTACCATGTTGTTCTGGATGGAGTGGGGAGACTCCCAGTGTCTCTCTTGGGCTTAGCAGATAATTTTTTCTTATTAAAATGTGTTAACCCTCATTAATTCTATATACGATCATTAAGTCTTGTCTAGAACTCAGCTTGTTTATGTGGGTGGATACCCTCTACCATTAGTATGCACGCATGTGATAGAGTGAGGTGATTTCTCTTACTTGTCTGCTCTCTATTACCCTTCAGTCAATCTAATGAATGCTCCTCCTCCAGAGCCATTATGAAGGCTTTTATGGCACAACACATCATTAGTGGAAAAGGCAGACAACAAAGGACTCTTCCATATTTGATAAATTATTGGATAAATTCAAACAAAACATGATAAAATCACAAAATTGTTACAAAATTAAATATTCAAGAAAGGGGTATGGGAAAAGGCATATGGTGGATAAAACTGATTAAAAACATCGTAACCTTGATCTATCAGTTACATCGCAGTAAGTGATAGCAGATTTGGAAAAGCTCTGCGTCACTTACAAACAATTAAAAACATGCAGATCTGGAAGATGAGATGTAACTTACAGACACACTTTACCAGCTGGCCAATGAACAGATCCAGTGAAGCGCCAGGAGGTGAGTTCAGATCAGGTCAGTTGACAATCAATGAAATGAGACGGGTAACAAACTAAAGAAAAAACCAACATAGTTTTTTCTTAAGGCGTCACCTTATGGGCCACCATGAGCCTCCACAGCCTCAATGCTGTTTGGCATATCATGTATACTTCAAGTTTCTGGAACAAGAGGGATGACCACCATTATTCCATTTGATGATTTGATGCAAAATCTCCCATATGTGTTCATTTGGGTTGAGATCTGACATGATTCACATATTTTTTATAGTCAAATATGTATATAATATATAATACTATTCAAAACTATAGAAAAAGAAGTGCAATGCATGTGAGCAAGGTTCTCTCTCTGATAGGGGTAACCAACTAGACCACCAAAAGTCTTTTCTCTCTAATCTGTATGCCCCTTCACCTAAAATCTGGACGCTAAAATCTGTACATGTCTAAACAAAGTAAACCTCCACGCACACGCACAGACACACACACACACACAGACACAAAGACTACAAATGTGTGGCGGGACAAAGCAGACGGACACCAGACATATTCATCACGTCATTCTGAACCAACACCAGTCTGGAAAGAATTGTCCGGTCCCTGTCACATTAACTATAGTGATGGTGATAGAGCAACATTCTGTCATAGCTTGCCATTTGATTTAACCACCGCCTCGTTTTTAGCAGTTCAATGAACAACATAAACTCCGGCCTTTAGACACCAATTGTCCATTGGCACATGTGTAAAAGTAGAAAAAGAATGACTTAAAAAGAAGAAAGCACTAAATCTGTGCATCGGGTCTATCAAGTATTGACTGATACACATTATTACCTTACTGCTTAATAGGTGTCTGGGGGCTCCACGCATCATTGCTTTGCCATCATGGGGTCAAAGACAAGCTTTTAAAACAATCACTTTTCCCATTAATGCCTTAAAAACTCACCCTGTCTTGTCCTATCTCATCCAATGTCACTATCACCCCCCTTCTCCTTCCTTTTTTTTTTACCTCAAGCCTACTGGGAGATAATATTTTCTAATTTCTGGAACACAATGAGGGGGATGCAAACAGAAGGTCCACCTTAATCTATCACAGCTCCTTCAAGGGTGCAGGGGTGCACAGTGACAGGCACAAAATCGCAGAGCCAGTGGGGAGGAGGGCAACAGAAGCAATTAAGGCTCATGAAATGCAAATGGTGCTTTATGTAAGGGGTTGAGGTTGGGGAGGAGGGTTAGGTCTCTCCTAGTCTTGCTGCCATCTGCTTGCTATCACCACCAGTGGAAGAACCTCTGGGTCTTGGTAATTTGTAGCTTTAATAATTTTCTTCCTCAGCTGGAGAAGAAAGAAGGAGTTGGGGCTGAAGGGGCCGAGGACATGCAGCTGGCTAAGATTAGATTTAGATTAGCTAGTCAGATCACATGGAGATCTGACCTCTTACACTTTAGCATGGGCATACATCACATGTGCAGGCATACACACACATTTAATTCCACTCTCCCTTCCACCCCTACACAATACTTGCCTATGCGGCATCAAAGTTGACCCTGATCCAAGGTGTACTTCTAGCCCAGTGGGTCCATAAATCCCTGAGGATGTCTGGAGGTTAGTTAGGAACATGATCCCTGGCCGCTGGGGGCTGAGCCATAACCCCAAGAGCGGATTCAGGACCTAACTTTCCCTGGAGCACTGTTTGAAGGGGTCAAAGTGGACACAGTGTGTTTTTTTTGTCTTTTTCCCCAATGACACAGCCATTCATTTGTCATGTGGAACCGAGGGACCTTATTGAACCTACAGACCCGACACTTTCTAATACCCAACGTACCAACCCATTCCCAAGGTCAAAACTGAGTCAAGGTCATCACCACACATATGTAACCCCTGACCCTGTGGGCGTCCATCATGCTCAGGAAATAAAGCCGAGATTGGCAGCTGATGTAGTCAAGGACTAAATCAACTTCACATTCTGCCATACATCAAAATCACTTCCAGCAACATGCACTGACACTGAGGGCCTAATCGCTTTATCTACATTGAAAGGGCAGAAAAGATGAAGCAGCGTGCTGGACATGGCACAATCAGATGGACTGTGCTGTCTTTGTGGTGGATTTAGAGCAGTGGTGTGGAAATGTGCCTCTCAGTCTTTGAATATGGCTGGATGATGACTTAAACATCAGTGAATGCACCTTTAGCAGCTGAAGGACATCAGTGAACATATGATAGCCAACAAAACGGCTCACTTTCTGCCTCATGAAACTGAAGTGGCGCTTGTAACACTTATATTGACAGGGAAGTCGAGCCACACACATTTGAATCTGGGGGATTTCTTAAAAGATCAATAAATTGAAAAGCCTTTGACAGCAAACCCACTTAATACGGATCATATGTGTCATAGCATAAATGACCGTGCATGAGCAGCATGATGGCCACATGCCAGTCAAAGCATAAGCCCGGACCTCCACTTCAATGCATCCCGCTCTGACAGGGGCGTGATAGGAATCTCTCAGCTCTATATGCAGCAAATAACACAATGTGCCATTGTAATTATAGCATTTAATACTCACACCATACATGTACACTAAGGCACACATAATTTGTAGCAAAATTGCCATCTGGATTGGACTAAAAGAGCAGCCAGACAGTTTCATACCTGGCTTTAAGCAGAGTGAACAAGGCTGCTTTTACTCTGTGCAGACAGACAGAAAGAAAGACCCACAGATGACTCTCATGAGGTCCAGTAAAGCTTCATACTGGTCGGATGGACGGCAGTAAAAGCTCTCTGAATGGTGTAGATGAAGCCTCATAAATTCCCCAGGCAATAACAGAGCCTCCTATGAGAATGGAATACTCAGCAGCCAAGTTATTTGGAGCTGTGCTGCATTTTAAACTTTGACAGCCCCATTCATTGGGGGCTAGGTAGATACTTTTTTTACAATCTCTCCATTCCACTCTACTATAGCACACACACAAGACACTAACAAGTGTTTGTACACACATATATATGTACACACACGCATGCAGCAAAGATTGAGCGATATGGGCAATAACATTAAGCAACCGCAACATTGTACTTAACATCAGAGTGCAGCAAGTTTCTGCCTATCATTGAGGGCAACAGGCTCTAAATCAGCCAGATGGAGCAGGAGCAGACAGTTATATGAGCCAGAGATAAAACTGCTGGGACAGTTGTGGGATGACAAAGAATTAGAAGATCAAATTCCTCTTAGTGTGCATCTCTTCTGCAGGGACCAGTACAATGCCAGACACACCTCTACCTCTGCTAAATTCAGCAAAGCGCTAGCCGCTTTCAAAAGCAGCAAGCTTGGAGACACTACAGATACAGTGCCTCATCATCCAATTAGCCTTATTAGTGTGGTTCCAGCTGTCTTTTCTGTACATGTTTACAGATATTATTAACATAATTGAACATCATAATCTGTAGTGCCACAAAATCGATATTCTATCAAATGTGTGTGTACATAGAAGTGTACATAATAACCAGGAGTATGGGGGAAATGGGACTGAGTATGTAAGGCCCACATGTAAGGAGGGCCCACAAATATACTAGAATGAATAGCCATGGATGTGGGGAGGGGCCCATAGAGAATGCCTGTGTACAGGGTCCAGAATTTCATGCCACGCCACTGATAATAATATTATATATCTCTGTTTTTGATACTTTTGTTCCAGTGCCAAGCATAAGTTTTGCTGCCACTATCTGGACAGCGTGTGTGAGAGCACCAAATGTCTTTTCTTTTGCAGTGACAAATCTGTATCAGCAGCCCAAACAAAGCA